TGTGGTCTCTTCCAACTCTATGATTCTATGATTCTATGAAGGCACACAGTAACAAGCTCTCCATGAGTACATGGTGTAAAGGGGTAGTGCTTCTGTTGGGTCACAGATTTGGTTGGAGGCATTACTAGCGGCCACTAGCTCTGTATATTTGCTGCCTCAGTCTCTGGTCCTGTCTTTGAGGAGAGAGAAGAAGGCGAGCTTGTATTTTGGGGATCGGTGCTGATAGTGCACTGTTTAGAGGTTTGTGTGGGTGTTCTGTTTTTGGGGGATGATGATGTGCTGTTCCTTGAGCACATGGTTGAAGAGGGTGTGTTTTCTGCTGAGTTGCTAACTTGGTTGGGGCAGAGGTAGTAGCTGCTAGCTCTGTGTAGCTGCTACCATAGTCTTTTGAGTCAACAAAGAGGAAGCGAAAAACAAGCATTTTTGTGGGCATTTTGTGGAGATGTTAAGGAAGAAGTGTGGGCAGTGGTGCCTCTACATATATAGAATGAAGAACATGGGTGGCAATGAGTTGTTGCATATGTAACAGCTATGCCATGTTTGTTTTCTTGTTGGAGGATCTTGTTGGAGAATCTGCAAGCTAGTTTCCCTATTGGAGGAGAAGGTGCAGCAGCTTGAGGTCTGTGTATTTATACTTCGTGTTATCAGGGAAGATTAAGCTGTTTTTTTTTTTTTTTAAAGACTGGATCAGACTCTCCTAGAAGGGCAAAAAATAGGGTGCCTCTAAGGAGGGTGACAATTTTGCAACACAAAAGGAAGATACTTGGAGGAATGTGACTCGTCAAAGCAGAACTATCAAGAACCATGCTTCAAGCTTGGAGCTACACTACCGATTCCATGCTCTCCCCTTCATCAGTGATTATGAGGCACAGAAACAGGGTCAAGAGCCTCACATTTCTGAAGTCATGGAGGCAACCTTAGAGGGTTCCATGGAGGGAAGAGCTACAGTCTGTTATTTGGGGAATAGGAGTTCTCATGATACAGCAAGATATAGCCTTCAGAATATTGCAAGGGACTACAATAATGTTATTTCATTTGCTTTCATTGCTCCTTCCTTTTGAAAGATGTGACCAAGGCAGAGGAAGAAGAATACTAGAAGTGAACAAGTGGCTCTGCAGATGGTGCCACCATGAAATATTTGCCTTCTTGCACTGTAGTGTGTGCTTTCATGAAGAAGGACTTCTGGCAAGAGATGGGTTATAACTTAGAGAAATTGGAAGGAATGTATTTGCCAGGAGTCTTGCAAAAGTTTTCAGGAAGGCTTTAATCTGAGTTATGTGTGGGGAGGGAGACAGAATTGCAGAGGGCATAGGGACACCAAATACTGGAGACAATAGCCAGTAATAGAAGAACCCAACAATGGTCAGAAAAAACCCCCACCAAGAAATCAACTGGACAGAGTGACCCATGGCTTTAGATGTCTCTACACTAATGCCCAGAGCATGGAAAATAAGATAAGCTTGAAGTCTTAACACAGAAGTATGATTTGATAAGCATCACTGAGACCTGGTGTGATGAGTGTCATGACTGAACATAGTAATGGAAGGGTTTAATCTATTCCAGAGAAATAGACCAAATAGGAAAGGAGGAGGTGAGCATTGTATGTCAAGGATGCATACATCCGTGAGGAGATCCATGATTTAGAGCATGGGAAACAGGTTACAAGTCTTTTGGGTAAAAATTAAAGAGGAGAGAAACAACAGTAACTGTAGTTATCTGCTCTTGGGTCTGAAGATCTGGATGATATCTTTCTAAAACAAATGACCAATTATTCAAAAAGGAAAGATATAGTTGTAATGGGAGACCTCAACCACCCTGATATTTGTTGCAAATCACACTCTGCCAAGATTGTAATAAGGTCCAACAAATTTCTCACTAGCCTTGCAGACAATTTCATTGTACAAAGGATGGAAGAAGCAACAAGGAAATCAGCTATATTGGATTTGGTCCTAAACAGCAGAGATGAACAGAGATGGGGTGGAAATAATAGAGTTGTCAGGTGAGAGTGACCAAGTTTTCTTGAGGTTTGTTACACAGAGAAAAGAAGAAGCCAAACATAGACACACACTCTGGACTTCAAAAAAGCTGATCTCAGTACACTTAGGGAAATAGTGGTTGAGATCTCACGGTCAGAAATACTCAAAGAGAGGGGAGTTCATGGTACATGGGAGTTGTTTTTTTTTAAAAGGTAAGATATTGAAGGCACCATTGCAAACAATTCCAAGGAGGAGGAAAAGTGGAAAGTGGTAAAGAAACCAAGGTTGATGTACAAAGAACTTTCAGATGAGTTGAGATTTAAAAGTGACATATATAAGTAATGGAAGAAGGGGGAAACCACCAAAGAGGAATACAAATGAATAGCCAATACTTGCAGGGGGAAAGTCAGAAAAGCTAAAGTCAGAATCAGCTCAGGTTAACTAAAGAGGTTCAAAATTATAAAGAGACTCCTTTTTCGGGGCTATGTTTGAAACCAGTGTGGCATAGTGGTTTGAGTGTTGGACTGTGACTCTGGAGACCATGGTTCAATCCCCAGCTTGGCTATGGAAACCCACTGGGGGACCCAGGGTAATTCACACTCTCTCAACCTCAGGGGAAGGCAATGGCAAACCTCCTCTGAACAAATCTTGCCAAGAATGCCCCTTGATAGGTTTGCTTTAGGGTTGCCATAAGTTGGAAATGACTTGAAGGCACACAACAAACAAAAATGTTTGGAGCAAGAGGAAGAACAAGGAAACTACAGCCACTGAACAGAGAAGGTAGTAAAATGCTAACGGAGGATAGAGAGAAGGATGAATTGTGTAATACATTCTTTGCATCATTCTTCTCCCCAAAAGAAAACAGTGTTCTAACTGGTGAAAATGTAATAAATTATTCAGAAAGGGATTAGAACCATAAGCGATAAAGCGGTAATAAAGGAATATCTAGCTATTCTGAATGAATTCAAGACTCCAGGGCAGATGAGCTGAATCTGAGAGTACTAAAGAAACTTGCAGATGCAATCTCAAGAGTCACTATTGATCATCTTTGAGAATTCATGGAGAACTGGGGAAGTTGCAGCAGATTAGAGGAGGGGAAATCTTGTTCAAAAAGGGCAAAAAAGAGGACCCAAACAACTACCAACCAGTCAGCTTGATGTCAATACCTGGAAAAGTTCTAGAACAAATCATTAATCAGTCTGTGCTCATCCTAGATAATCCAAAGGCACCAGATCCTATTTAATCTAGGAAGCTACATAGAGTCACTCTCTTTAGTACTTGGTTGAGAGACCACCATCAAATATCAGGTGCTGTAGGCTATATTTCAGAGAAAAGAACTATCAAAACCACTTCTAAGTATTCCTTACATAAGAAAATCCTATGAAATTCAAGGGGTCATCATAAATTGACAGGTGACTTGAACACACACACACACAGAGAGAGAGAGAGAGAGAAGAATGCCATGATTACTAAGAGCCAGCATGGGTTTCTCAAAACCAAGTCGTGCCAAAGTACTCTTGTTTCTTTTTTAAATAGTTACATATAGTACATTTTGACTTCAGTAAGGCATTTGTCAAGTTTCCCCATGACATTTTTGCAGCCTAGATGATGCACTGTTGGCTAATTAATGCTACAGTTAGATAGACCTGTAGTTGGTTGACAAACAGAACCCAGAGAATGCTCTTCATTGTGGAGAGAAGTGCTGAGTGGAGTGTTTCAGAGTTTTGCCCTGGTCCTAGTGTTGTTTAACATCTTTGTATATAACTCAGAAAATGAAACAGAAGGCATGCTTATTAAATTTACAGATGGCATCAAGTTGGGGGAGTGGCCAATAACCCAGAGAACAGGAACGGAGTTCAAAATGACTTTGACAGGTTGAAGAGCTGGGCCAAAACTAACATTGTTAAATGTAAGATACTATATCTAGGCAGGAAAAATAAAATGCACAGATATAAGATGGGTGACACCTGGCACGAAAGCAATACATGTGAAAAGGACCTATGGGTCTTAGTAGACCACAAGTTAAACATGAGTCAACAGTTTGGTGAAGCATCCAAAAAGGTCAATGCAATTCTTGTTTGCATCAACAGGAGTATAGTGTCTAGATTAAGGGAAGTAGTAGTGCTATTATGTTTTGCTTTAGACAGACTTCACTTGGAATATTGTGTCTAGTTCTGGACATCACAGTTCAAGAAGGAATATTGGCAAGCTGAAGATGTCCACAAAATAATGATTAAAATGAAAGATCTGGAAAGGTAGGGAAAGCAAGCTTTATGAGGAGTGACTTAGGGTGCTGGGTTTGCTTAGCATGGAGAAGAAAAGACAGAGGTGACATAATGTCTGTCTTTAAATATTTGAAGGAATGTCAAGGAGCAAGCTTGTTTTCTGCTGCCCCAGACACTAGAACATGAACCAGTGGCTTCAAATTACAAGAAGAGAGATTCCATCTATACATTATAAAGATTTTTGTTTTTACTGTAACAGTGGTTTGACAGTGGAACAGATTGCCTTGGAGAATGGTGGACTTCCCATCTTTCAAGGTCTTTGAATAGAGTTTGGTTGGGCATCTTTCAGAAATGCTTTTTTTTTGTGCATTCCTAAATGGCAGAGAGATAGATTGCCCTCATAGTGCCTTCCAACTCAAAGATTCTGTGATTTTAATGATTCTGTCTTTAAGTTTTCATGTGAATTGGCCCTATATTATGTTTGCCCAGTGAATCACTCAGCCCAAATTGTAATGTGTTGACAAAGCTTAAGAATTTAACACATTTAAATGAGTATCCTAATTGTTTCTGTCATGACTCCTTTACAAGAAATCCTGTAAATTGTTGTCCCCTGTAATGAAGGCTTCTTGGCCTCTGAAGGTCTAAACTCCGTATCAAGTTGACATGTCTCTCCACTTTTACTTGTGAGTAAGCATGAGCCCCTGAGCTGGATTATGACCAGGGTGTGCAGAAAGGGGAGTTTTAAATTTTCCCTAGCTATGTTCCTCATAATGATATAAAAAGAAGAAAGTTCTATTCCCTTCTGCCCTGTATCTGTATGGGTGTGTGTGTGTGTGTGTGTGTGTGTGCACCAGAGACCTTGAGAGAGAAGTACAGAAACTGAAAGACAGGTTGGTTTAAACCTCCTTGCTTTATGTGCAGTTGCCTTGAGGTATATTAGCAGCCTGTACACTTTTTCGTGACAAAGTAAAAAACAGAGAGGCAGCCTCATTTTATAGATTTAATGTAATGTGCAGTTTGACCCTCTCAAATATATTTCAACATGTTTACTAAATTTCAGTTTCCAGGATTCTTTGAGGAAAGTCATGTCTGGATTACTGCTTGTTTAAATGTCTAGTGTGGGTTCACTGCAAGTTTGTGTTTTGTTCAGGTGAGAGACACTGTCAATTGTCTATTAGCATTACATTACTGTATTTTCTTTTCTTCCCCTCTTCTTCTCTCTCTCTCTCTCTTGCGCCTCCTTCTCAGGTGTGTTTGACAATTGTTCTCACATTGCCAGTGACAGGGGCTGGACTCTGGGAATCACTTCACAGGAAAAGCCTGGGAGAAAGAATGCCCGCTTCTTCTTTTCACTCCGGACAGACCGCATCAAGAAGGCCTCTACCATATTGGCATACCATCGCTATGAGCTCAATGCATGGGTTCATGTGGCTGCCACTTATGATGGCCAGCAGATGTTGCTGTATCTGAATGGAGAGCGGGTGGCTCGTAGTACCCAGCAGTTGGGTGACCTTCATAGCCGCTTCATGGCTTCTTGTCGCACCTTGATTCTGGGTGGTGACAACTCAGGTGGGCACAACTTCCGTGGCCACCTGGCATTTTTAGCCCTTTGGAGTGTTGCACTGCCCCAGGAGAAGCTTCAGAGGGCCTTCCTGAAAAAAGCTGACGAGACAGAGGCTGCCATGTTGCTCAGTGTGAGGTTCAGTCACTTGGAGCAGCAGTGGGCACATTTCAAGGATGGGGCTTACCCACTGGTGGAGTCTTTCCACCCACCAGAGCCCCCAATTTTGTCACCACTGACACCCCCACTTTGTGGGCAGACTGCCTGTGACAACGTGGAGCTGATCTCCCACTACAACAATCACTGGCCATTGCGGAATGAGAAGGTAGTGCGCTACCGTGTTGTCAACATCTATGATGACGACGGCCTCCATCCTACTGTCAGCCAGGAGCAGATTGCCCACCAGCACCGGGTGCTGAGTGAGGCCTTTGGCCACTACAACATCACTTGGCAACTGCACGTGCACAAAGTGCGCAGTTCCTTGCTCCGTCACCGAGTGGTCCTGATGAACTGTGAGCCCAGCAAGATTGGCAATGAGTTTTGTAACCCAGAGTGCAAGCACCCTCTGACTGGTTATGATGGTGGAGATTGCCGTCGACTGGGGCGCTGCTATTCCTGGGAGCGCCGGGATGGGGTTTGCAACATGGAGTGCAACAATATGGTCCACAACTTTGACGATGGAGACTGTTGCAACCCCAGAATAACCAATGTAAGGAAGACTTGCTTTGACCCAGATTCTCCACAACGGTAAGCTGGGGCAGGTTATGGGGTTACTCTCTGGCAGCCTCTGGCATCCCAGAGACCTCTGCCTTTATCTTGTGATTAAATTTTTTTATATTAATCTTTTCCTCCATGCTCCATCTCTAGATTTCTTTGGACTGCTAAAAGCTGTTTCATGCATTCTGCTTGTTAGTGGTGTTGTTGTTTGAAAATCCTTTAAAACATATCTGATTTTCTAAGCACTGTACAGATAGTAGAAGTCAACAGCTCTGCTGACAGGTTCAAAATCTAATAGCTGTGATTGAAAAGGAGTGAGGTGGGAAGGCAAACAATACAGCAGTAATCCCTTCTTCTCTTACTAATGGACAATTCAGAAACAAGGGGTTCAGCCTCCCTGTAGTTCTGGTAGCTTATAGATGTAAACCCAAAATTGTCTAGAGAGAATTTGCATTCCATATTTAAGATCTCTAGACTACTACTCAGTTCACTGCCCATGGGAAGAAAGAATGAATGTGCAATTACTTTTTGGTCTTGAGTGTAGATATTCACCCCTTGTTTCTGAAATCAAAAAGGATGTGGAGAAACTGGAGTGTATCCAAAGGAGGGCAACTAAAATGGTGAAGGGTCTGGAAACTAAGCCCTATGAAGAACGACTTAGGGAGCTGGGGATGTTTAGCCTGGAGAAGAGAAGGTTGAGAGGTGATATGATAGCCGTATTTAAATATTTGAAGGGATGTCATATTGAGGAGAGAACAAGCTTGTTTTCTGCTGCTTCAGAGACTAGGACCCGAAACAATGGATGTAAGCTCCAGGAGAAGAGATTCGACAGTGGAACACACTCCTATGGAGTGTGGTGGCGTCTCCTTCCTTGAAGGTCTTTAAGCAGAGGCTGGATGGCCATCTGTCAGGGATGCTTTCATTGGGAGTTCCTGCATAACAGGGAGGTTGGACTGGATGGCCCTTGTGTTATCTTCCAACTCTATGATTCTATGATTCTATGATTCCCAAAGTTATTTGTGGGCATTGCCAGTGAATATGGAAACTCTTTGAAATTGCTCC